TGCAGATTCGGCCATTAATTTTGATTGAACATAATTGTAGCCACAACTAATACTACAAATGCATATAAAGGAAACTGAAAATCCTTTAATTTTCTGATGAGACACGAATATCCTCTTCTTGAATAAATATAAAATATAAAATATATCGTAGAAAAACATATAACAAAATCTTTCTATAGGCATGTTGAATAAAAAATTAAAATATAAAATTTAAAATTTAAAATTTAAATATATGCCCAGTAGACAATAAGGAATTATGAAATAAGGTGATAGCATTTGCGGTTTTTATTTATACTTATGTAACAAAATATATTTTGAATAAATCGTACAAAAACATGAAAAAAATCATTCTATATGCATGTTTTATATTACATATTACATTTACAATATTTAAAATATATATATACATAAAATATATCGTACAAAAAAATGGAACAAAATCGTTCTATAGGAAAATTTAAAATATAAAATATAAATTTAAATATATGCCCAGTAGACAATAAAATGAAATCGTTCAAAAACATGTAACACAAGCCTTCTATATGCATGTTTTATTAATAGTAGTTCACTATATGCGAGGAGTAAATGTGTCATTGCCTATTTCTATATCAATTGTTATATCATACATGTATATTTATATCAATGGCATGTTGTGTATACGTATATGGTATACTTATATCAATGGCATGTTGTGTAATTACTCTAATTAACTAAGGTCTTTTAACTTAAAGGGTGAGAAGGCTTCTGGAGTTGCCACGTAGGAAATGGCATGATTGTAATAAACACATGAAGTAAATGTTTCTTTTCAAAAGTTCTCCTCAAATAATAAGAAGGGGATTGGGCTGTATAGCATGAAAAAAAAATTCAAATTCACCAAATAACTATTTTCTCTAATATTTCTATATATCTTGTTACATTTATATAATAATATTGTATTACTCCTCACTTTCATCAGTACAGCCTGCAAAGAAATAAAACTGTTTAATAATTATTGATTATGAAACATAAAACACGTGGTTTTTTGTTGTTCACACACACTCACAAAATATGTACTATGTTATTTATTTTGTTTTATTCTATTTGGGTTTAAAGTTAATGTTTGGGTTCACAAAAATAACTAACTTCCCTAATATTTCTATATATCTTGTTACATTTATATAATAGTATTGTATTACTCCTCACTTTCACTGGTACAACCTACAAAGAAATAAAATCTGTTTAATAATTATTGATTATGAAACATAAAACACGTGGTTTTTTGTTGTTCACACATACTCACAAAATATGTACTATTTTATTTATTTTGTTCTATTCTATTTGGGTTTAAAGTTTTGTTTGGGTTTATGATTTATATTTGGGTTTAGGGTTTATACTTGGGTTTAGGGTTTACTGATTATAGTTTAGGGTTTAATATTTAGGGGTTGTGATGGGATTAAAGATAACTAGAGTTGAGATATGCTTAGTATTTAAAGATTGTAGGTGGGGTTATAATCTTATACTATTTCGGTGATATGGAATATAATACTTAGTGCATATGTATGTGGTTAATAAATGGATACGTGGATGACTCCACCAAGAGAAATATATTATACATTTTATTCTGTTACTATACTATTTTATAATGTTCCATTCCATTTGACGGTTAATAAAAATAAATTTATTTTGTTTAGTAATATAGTGATTAGAGTTTAGAGTTTAGTATTCGGAAAATGAAGGGATATAGTTGGGGTTAGCATTAACTTCTTACGTGCAATCACAAGCATTTCATAATTTCATAAATGTATACTATGTTATTTATTTTTTTCCATTCTATTTGGGTTTAGAATTTATATTTGGGTTGAAGGTTTATAGTTTAGTTTAGAGTTTATATTTGGGTTTAGTGTTTATATTTGGGTTTAAAGTTCATATTTGGATTAGGGTTTAGTAATTAGATATTAGGATTATGATCTATATACTAAACTCTAAACCCTAAATCCTAAACTCTAATCACTATATTACTAAACAAAATAGAGTGATATAGAATAGAACACTTTTAGTGATACAAAATAGGGATTATAGATGAGTTATAATCATATACTCTTTCAGTGATAATCATATACTCTTTCAGTAATATAGAACAAAACACTTGATGCATATGTATGTTGACAGTGTAAAAGTATATGTGGATCAAGGTATACATGGATCACTCATTCTTACTATACTATTTTGGATATATGGAATAAACCATCCGGTAAATATGCATATGGTCAATGAACGTGTGACATAGATGGCTCATCTTTCTTTTATTTCTTCATGTTAACTGGCAACTTGTTAAGGGAGGGGGTAAAACTGGCTAGAAGAGAGGACTTCCGTTAGACTTACAAGAAGATATATGTTGAATTTTAAGTGTAATATTTCCATTTTTAAATTATGTATGTACTTATTATTTATTTTTCCTTATATTGTGTATTTCCATTTTATACTTTATTTACTTAATATCTATATTTTACACTTTAAAATAGATGTTTAATGATTAATGTATGTTTCCCATTTTTGTAAAACATTGTGTATTTATTTATTATTATTTCGTATATTATATATTTACATATTTAAATGTATATTTTAAATGATATATTTTAGTTTTTAAATTTTTTATTTATTTATTCTGTGTATTTTCAGTTCTTATGCTCTATTTTACTTGATATCTATATTTTTAATTTTAAGATAGATGTGTAATGCTTAGTGTCAATTTCACTATTTAAATTGTTTATCTACTTTTTTTTTTGACAACGAACGGCTGATCTATTAGTCAAGCTAGAGGTGGTCTGGGAATCCAGACCGGAATAGAACAACCAACATACATGAGATCCCGATAAAAGGAACGGACAGTCTTAGCTAAATGATCGGACACAGCATTTAGAGATCGAGGTACATAAGAATCTCAAAGTTTGGGAAACAAATCCTCAGCGTCGAGATCCTCTCCAGTTCCGTCGAAAAGCTTGGCCATCCCTGGGGATCCTTGAGCATTGTTAATAATTCCTTGCAGTGGTGATCTTACATATGTTTAATTTAGTATTTACATTTCTAATGTCTTATATTTACATTTTTTCTATTTTCGCAACTATATATATCATGGTAATCTTATATATGTTTAATGTAGTATTTCCATATATAATGTTGTATATTTACATTTTATTTATTATTTTCGAAATTAATTTATCAGTAATATTAAAATGTAAAACTATACATTATATCAATATTTCAAAAATGTAAAACTAAACATAATAAGGTGATAATATTAATGATGTCACGTGGCTTCTTTTCGAAGGGAGATTCTACGATGATGTGGAGGCTCTCTAGAACTTCAAAAGACTCTTTTTATTAGTACTAGAGACTTTCCCGGGCTATGCCCGGGTTTATTTCTATAAATGGTTAGTTGTTTTAAAGTATTAAGTTATGTCTATTGAAATATTTAATTATATATGGAAAACAATGATAAATAAAAACTATTAAACTGAAATTTAAATTATTAGAAAGTAAAATGTAAGCAATAAATAAAGCGCATATTACATTAATCAAAATATTATTACAGCAAAAAAAAAATCGGGTTTAAACTCAAAATCATATTAAATTTTGATTTCCAAAATTGTTCATTCCCTTCATCTTTCGGATTTGTATTACTTAGCTAGTGGTGAACATTTTTTTTTTAGTTTTAATAAGAAACTAATCTTTCTAGAAGTCGCATGAAAAATAAAATAGTTGAAACAAATTTCAACTTCAAAAAGGTTGAACCTATTTCTTTTTTGGGTAAATCTATTCTATTAGATTAGGAATATGACCTATTGATATATGTTTAGTCCAATAATTAAAAGAAGAAAAATTAAAAAAAAAAACATTAAGAAAAACAATGGATTTTATAGCTTGTCTATTACTTAGGGGAAAACAATTATTTGGTATTAATGTATAGACTTTGACAACATTCATGCTAAGAATATGATAGAGGGTTTAGAGTACATAACTATCCTCTTAATTGGGTAACTGATCACCTGCATAGCTCAAATACTTAGTGGAGTTAACAGGTAAATATTATCTGTTTTTTGTTTCTCTTGTTCGGCGAGTTGAGGTTTGTTTTCTTAGTGATAAAGCTCATTGCTCGTCCTGGATATCCTCCAACCAAGGTCTCTCCCAAACCCTTCACAATCTGAGAAACGCAAGTTCTTGATTATTTTACTCAGAAAAGCATAGAAAGGAAGCAACATTCAGACGACATCATATGAATGAAGAAAGTATAATCACCACATATGACTTCTTGAACCAGCACCAACATGCAGACGGCATCATGATCAACTCTAGTTTTCTTGCAACTGACGTAAGCTCTCTTGTTCCACTTTGAAGCCCATACCTATATGTTGATGTTCAGAAGATCAGTAAAGTACTTGGTTCCTTTCTTACACAAAAAAACTCTTAAGAGATTATTACCTTCTTAATTGCCACCCATGATCGGTTCCAGCTTGATTCATCTCCATGATATGACATTCTTTCACTTTTCAGTTTGTGAATCAGTTCATTTCTCTACCAAAGAGATCAAAAACTCATCATGTGATGCATATAGAAAATCATGAGCAGAGGATGGCAAGAAAAAACAATTATATGTCTAGTTATTACCAGAGCCTTTGGTGCACTCATTTGAAGACAGCTTCTTGAATCGCCTTAAGTCTTTCCATGTCTCCCTGTTAAGAGAAACTTTAAGGGCAGATATCTTGTGTGCTAAATCCTGAAAAGCGATGGATCCACCAAAAAAATATTTCTTGATGCCTGCATCTGTTCCAACAACTCTCCAACAGAGTTGTGCAAGAAATAAATCGTTAAACTCTGATCAGTAACTCGATAAATCTCCTTGCTTTTTTCGTAGCGTAAAAATTAGAAGGCTGTATAAAAAAACAGAGCAAAGCTGCGATTTTTAAAAACAGAGCAAAGCTGCAAACTTTATAATCTCAAAAAGAGCAAATCTGAAAAGAAAATTACATTTTCGGTGTGTAGGCAACATATTTCTGAAATGGAGTCTTGAGCATCGGTCCAAGCGAACACCCTATGTTCGAGTTTTGACATCTATGGAACCCATCATGGAGTTTCTTGTTGTGTGCTAGAAGAGAATCATTATCCGATTTCAAAACATCGAACTGTTTCTTCAGAGTATCATAGTCTCTTCCAAGGTGCTTTGTCTTCCACCTAGGTCTCCTGTTGTGAAACCAATTCGCAATCTGCCTAGTCTGCAACCCTAAGGCCTTAGCTAGCTGCATCTTCCTCTCAGGCTCCAGCTTGTTCCCTAGCTCGAAGATCTTCTCTAATGCCCTAACTTTCTCTAAATTCAGCCTCTTCGTCGTCCCTCCTAACATATGGGACCCATCATCTGGTAGATTGTCTTCATCTCCCACCGGGTCCTGCATCATTCATGTTTGTCGTGGTCGGGTTTTTAAGTTAGATGGTGGTGGTCTGATACTCCCGTGAACAACATTGATTTGTTGATCATGTAGTTTCGTCCTCCTACGACACCAAAACCTGCATTTCAGTTGCAGACATCAATTCCCAAGAGAATCCAATTCGATGAAGAAAAGAAGAAAGAAACCTGGATAATGGTTTTGATGGTATCCAGAGGGTAAGCGATAGCAGTTCCTAGCGAGACAGAGGTCGTCGCAGCAATAACATGCGTCGCAAACTGATGCTTCACTAGAAGCTTGAGCAAAACCGTTTTCTCAAACCATTGGATCATCACACTCCTACTCCTCCTCTCCATCAAACCGTTTCATCTCCATATTTTATCTCCTCTTTAATGCCACTGCAAGCCACAGAGGAACTTGTGTTGGAATCTGAGGAACGAACCGACCATAATCTCCATGTCACCGGCTCAAAATGTGGTTAACTAAGAATTCACCAAATGGTTTCAAGATTCTTTTATAAAGCAGGAGATATTATGGCTATGAAGTCGAGCGGCTCCATGTTCATATTGGGAACAATCTCCACCAATTCATCCTCTGCCATAAACTCAAACTGGTGTTAATATATTAGATCATTGCAGACACGTACACAAAGACAAATACAAAACAAAGAGGATAAGAAGAAGAACAACCACTTGAGGAGAAAATAGTGAGATATGAGGATCAGTCTGTCCAGCCATGGATGTAAGAAATCTCAGCTTCCACTATATTAAAAAAATAGAAGAGACCGAACAATCCTTGTGTAAGACTACTGGCATCTAATATCTGAAAAAGATATTAAGACAAAGCTGAGAAAGCTAATAATAATCCCTTGTTAACATTTAATCAAACATCTTGTCTACACTAATTCCTCGTACTTTCTATCCAAAACTTGTGGTTCTGATCTCAGCAACATAATAAAATTTTGTAGTTTTCGAAGGATACGTTGTAAAGGAAAGCCATGAACAGCGAGAGAGAATCTTTTTTTCATGAATCGCGTTATGATTGAGATATTACATAGGTTAGAATTTGAGTGAAGATCAATTTGATCCATTCCGATTCTACGAAATTGGCAGAAGAGAGACAAACAGATAAGGGGTTCTGGTGGTGCATCATGCGATAACATAAGTGAGAAGACTCGATCTGGAGACCTAATCATGCCAATACTCTTGTTCTGGTAGTTTTACGCTTCCTTCATTGAGATTTTCTTAGTAACCTTAATCATGTCAACCGACTAAGAAATCATATTTGAGTGAAGGGGTTGCTTTGGTGATATGTGGTGAGGGCTGCACTTCCCATAGCTTTATAGTAGTAGTGCTATGGATACTTAAGACCATCATTGATTGAGAAGAAAACACTAAAAAACTCTGAGATAAGAGAAGATGAAGTTGGAGAGTCGAGGGGAAAGACGGGGAGAAGAAATAGAGTTTTGTCGATATGGGATGGTGACGTGGCTAAAGGAAAGATTATTATTGGTTAATTATTTTTATCTATGTAGACACTCTCAAAAGACTTTGTTATGCCCTTTTAATAGTGTAAGATATAAATTATTGAGATTGTAATTACATCTAAAGACATTTATTGCTTTTGACACACTTTTTTCTTATAAATTGTCTCTTCTGCCCTTTCATAAAACAAACAACATCCTTCACTTTTGTCTTAACTAAACCGATACCTTTTTTTTCTACCACGAACTAAAGCCGTACCTTAACCTCTGAAAACTCCAATTATTCTCTTTATTTCTCTCCTTTGTTTCAATTTTGAAATCAATTTTCCAAATTTATGAACCCAAATTTCCCCTGTTTCCTTTTGTTTCCAGATCCGTGAACCCTAATTACAACTGCTTATTCTCTGGCTCTCGGTTTCTTGATCCTAAGTTATTGCAATTGTATTACTCTCTCGAACCCTAAAACCCAGATCACTTAGATTATGACGAAACTGAAAGCGAATAAGAAAGCAAACTTGTTTCTTAAAGTTCTACACATCAAGATGTCAATGAAGGTTTGTATACTGTAATTTTCTCCAGATCTAAAATCGTGATTGCATATATTGTTGGTTGCGAACCCATGTTCTTCTTGATTAAAAAAGAGAAAATCTGATCTTTTTGTTCCTCTTTATGTTCATTCCAAGAATTGGTGTTTAGTTGATTAAAAAAAGAGCAAAACTATGTTATTGAATGAGACGTGGTTGATTTCTTTTGTTTTTTTGTCTGATTTGATGTTTGGTTGATTTTTATGTCATAGTATTTGTGTTTTTGTGTCACCGTATTTTATTGTGTTTGTGTATTTTCTGTTTTTGTATGTTTTGTGTCTCATTTGTTCTATGTTTAGTGTGCCAAAGGAAATTGCAGACAATGTCACCAATCAACACTGTTACCAATTATATAGGTTCTGGTAATTTTTGTTGGCTACATAACAAGATTCTCCAGGAGAGTCTATTGAAGATATAACTCTTAAGAGTTAATGCTGATACTTATCCAAGACACCTCTAGTGGTGTTTGTCTTTCATGCTTTGTCCTTTAATTGGAAAATGGCATTACATACTTGCAGACTCTGAATACTACCTCTCTTTAGACCCCAACTCTAACTCTCTTTCACACACCTCCCAAAACAGCACCTCCACACCCACACTTCCCAAACTCCTTTCAGCCACATCCACGTTTCACTTTTTTTTTGCTGATAACCACAACCACATCCACATCTAGCAGCCACATCCATACCTTGCTTTTTTTTGCTGATAACATGAATCCATTTTTTTTCCTATCCACAACATATGTGTCCACATTTTATTTATCCACAAACATATCATCCACAAATGTGTACTTAATGTGTAATGCAATCAAGTTTTGTTTATGGGTACTACTATTTCTGTTCTTTCATTTCTACTATCCATAACTCAATTGTTGAAATAATTATGTCTACATCTCAATTTTCAAATTACAATGCCCACAATATATGTCTAGAAATGTTTTTACTTAATTCAGTTTTAAAATATTATATATATGGATCTCAAAATATAGAAAAAAAAATTATAAATTATTGTATATATTATATATCAAATTTATATATATTATAGTATGAGATAATAACAAATGAACTATGTTGGAAACAAAAAATAACCGTTAGATCTTGTTTTATCTTTTCAATCAAGTGACAAAAAACTAAGCTCACAAATTCATATAAGTTAGGCCTGCTCTACATCACTCATCCGTTAGATCTTTTTAAATTTCAATCATGTGGCCATAACTAATTTGTATTTACATTTCTACAAAGAAACTAAAAGACTAACTAAATGTGGTCCCTACTATTTAGACATAATAAAAAACAAAATCTGCCTCATATCGTCAAATGGAGGGTATTTCGGTCCACAAATCACTTTGGGAATATAGAATGTGCTCTCCGGCAAAAAATGTCTTATATTGTAAAGAAAGATAGAAATGTGTCTTAATTGGTAATTCTTTTTTTCGGCGATGATGACAAATTGAATTATTTTCAAATACTTTCCTAGACTTTGAGTTATGGAGATTTTTTTTTTTCAGATAAATAGTAAGTAGGAAGTATATATTTTTCAAATTTTCTACAGAATCGAGACAAGCTAGATTTTCTAGGATAAACCAAGAAAAAATACAAAATCTTCAAAAAAAAGTAAGAGATTAAATTAAGAAAAATATTTACAAATATTTCTGCTTATTCTAATCAAAAAAGGTCAGTAGACTTTGAATTTATGAAGAATTTTAGTTTTAGATTTGTATATAAGAACTAATAAATAAAATTTCGGATTTTGCTACATAACTGAGATGAAAGTAGCTTTTCTAGAATATAAGAAAACATAATCTTTCAAAACATGCATTAGTTTTGAATTTATAATACTAAAACTAGTGTTTTCATATATGATCCATATTTGCGACAGAACCGATAAACCTTAATGATTCATAGTTTGGGTTTAATGAAAAACCTATCAATTAAAAATCGTATAATTTAGTGAAGTCCAGAAATTGGCCATTAACCCACTATCCTACACTGGTTAGCCCAATAAAAACTTAAAAAAAATATAAATATGTTTAGTATTTGATTAAACTTAAAATATTCATTTTAATAGTACATAACATTAAATAAGTAATTTGATTTTCATTTTAGTCAAACTCGTACTATATTATTTATCTGATAATAAACAAAACCGTAATTCATTAATATAGTTCACTATTATTTTAATTTCATTATTAATAATTTATCATAAGTTTCTATTTTTTATTTTTAAATTTAATTCTACAAAACTATTATTTTATTATTATTTTTTTAAACAAAAAGATAATTTGGCATATGTAAGTCATATAATTTGTTTTATGGTAAGAAAAAACAAAAAAAAAATACTTTTAAAATATATGATTATATTTTGTAAATAACACATGAAATTTTAATATTATTTTATATTTTTAAGGATTAATAATAATATATAATTATAAAAGTATATAAAAATTATTAATTTATAGATATGTAGGTTACTCATGGTTGGTGTAATGATCTAGTGCTCAGAGTGTAATTCTGTTTGGTGTCCATATAGGATTTAAAAACACTGCTAAAAAACTAAAAATTATATTTTTACTAAAACTAAAAAAGTTGTCATGCCAGAAAAATGATTAGTTTGCTTACAAAAACAGCATCTGAAATGTAACAATGGCAAACTATCTATAAAATATATCTTTTACTCTTTTTTATCTTTAAAGTAGATGTTAGAAAAAATGGTTTAACAATATAAAACTTGATATTTTTTTTTACGACTGAATTAGTTAACAGTGTAAAATTAACTTATAAAATTTATTTAGTGTTATTTAAAACTTATAACCAAAAAAATATAATTTTAAGAATGTGTGAAAATATATTAATATGAAATAAGGAAGTGTTTTATTTTGTTTAGACAATAAAAAAGACATGAGTGGGATAATAAAACCACTAATGTGTTTGCTTCAGTTAGAAGCATAATCAAGCATTAAGACACAGAACATCAATGGCTTCCTATTCTATCTCATTCTCATGCGCACCTTCACTGTACTCGTCCACCAATTTCTTCTTCCACAAGACTGCGGCCTTCTTGTATTTTTGGAACCCAAAACTTAAAGCTTCTTATCCGACCTGCCAGACTCGAACCCTCAAACCGGTCAAGAATCACTTGTCGGTTCAAGTTCTGCAGAAATGGTGTCGATGCTGAAAGTGTCGGAATATATGGCAGTCATTCTCGTGATGAATTCGACAAAGACGACATTGAACAGGTTCTGTCTTCTTGTCCAATCAAAAAACACAATCGAAAACCACTTTGGTTCTTGAAAGAAAGTGAGGTGTACAAATAAAATGTATATTTTGTTCTTGTAGTATTTCAATTACACGGGGATGCTTGCGGTAGAAGGTACCTATTCAAAGATGGAAGCCCTTCTTAACGTAAACATTCACCCAGTCGATATTCTGTTAAAGTTAGCTGCCAGAAAATGGTGATCATACTCTCTTCTGGTCTCATTTAGCTGAAAAATTTATCATGCTTTTGGTCTCATTCATCTGACAACTCAGAGACTTCTGTTTCATCATTGATCATTCAACTTTATTCTTGTTTCAAGCTCCGAGATCTTGGACAGCCAAAATACTTTCCTAGCCTTGAAATTGCTCTATCTATTTTTGGCATTTTTCTATGTCAGCACAAGTGTTGGACCCAATTTGGCACCTAGTTAAGTAGGCCCAAGCCCATCTAAGATCAGTCACGAGCTCGACATCAACCGGAGTCTAGAGGTCGAAATGATATCTCGGAGATCGCGGAAGCAGTTAGAAGAGGAAAATGCTATAAAAAAGAGCTAGAATGGAGTGAAACACACACGGAAAACCCTAAAGCTATTTAATAATCACATCGACCTCACTCCATAGATTTCTAGTTCGCTTATTACTTCTACTTTTCATTGTTCTTTTCGATCTTATTCATCACCTTGTAAACGAATACTGATTGTATCGTTATGTTTAAGAGCATCTTTGCACTTGCCCATATCATTTGTCTTCCCCTGATTAAACTCTCGATCACTACAAAATACTTAGTGTGGATTTTAGGATCTACAACAAGTATATCCTTGAACTTCTTACTGATGCTAGATTACTTGATTGTCGTCCCTCCTCTGTTCCTATGGACCCAAGCAACAAGTTATCATCTGAAGATGTTGAACTCACACTAATGCTGAATCTTATAGACGTTTGACTGGGAAGTTGCTTTATCTCACCATTACTTGTCATGACATATGCTTTGTGGTACATAAGTTGTGTCAGTACTGTTCAGCTCCACGAGTTCATCATCTCAAAGCCACTCATAAGATTCTTCATCACCTAAAAGGAGCCATAGTTCCGAGAGGAGAAACAGATGGTTGTACTAAATTGAGCAAACCCTAGTTGTAGCATCTTCTTGGTTTTCTGAAACTTCTGGTTGCAACGCATTGTTAGTCC